TTTTTTTCTTGTATAGAAGCACTATTTTATATGGATTGTCAGTATACATATGTGAGGACCATGTCAGACTTAAGATATTTGTTTTCTCTTGGTTTTGTTTTTTTATTTTAGTACGTTCTGTTATTTGTATGATGCGTCAGGTATGTCTTTACATTATTCTCACATGTGTGTACAATATTGGAATATGTATCAGAGCAGTGTAAAACAGACTTTTTTTTAAAAGAGTAACGAATGGATATTCTTGCTCGTTCTTCTCCACTCGAATCGACATTTTGGAACGAGCGCCTAGCTTCACTGACGGACAGACTATTATTTATTTCATATTTGTTGATGTTTCAAAAGTACCAAATTATGGTTTAATTGAAATAAATGCTTTTGAATTTATTGAGTTTGAGTTTATTGTTGGTGTGGAATTTAACCTGAATTGTGTTACCCTGATGCTATACCGTACAGTTCCTGAAATTTATAGGCATTCGGCAATATTGATATCGACGTAGCTATTTCATCAATCTAGCGATTTTAAATTAGATATCAATTAATAAGTGGGTTTGTTGATACTACCTTGAATTTTATGTACGTTTTAGATTATTTTTATAATAAATGATTTTTATGCAAATTATTTTGTATTGTTCCGAGATCAAGATTTCTAATGTTGTCTTATCTTTTGGAGACTATCGTCTATCAGTCATTGATTTGATTATATCTCTGTACTGTTATTGTTTAATTTAGGCAAAACAAAACCCTTTTATTTATACCGTAACGCAAAGCGAATTTTTCTTTTCGTTAATTTTTATTTTCCTTGAATTTGAGAGGGAAATAAGTAGTTTTCTTCTATGGTATTGGCCAATTGTATCTCAAAATACTAAGTAATAAGGACTAATATATACAGTATACATACTCTACTATCTATTATGTATCTGTAGACATGATATAAAGGAACATTAGTTTCTAGTAAGAAAGATCTTGTATTGTCCACCCTTTGTACGTCAAGGAAGCCATACGCGAGAGAAATAATTGCTATTAGCACTATTACTAATGGTCTCAAATGACGAGACCACTCTAAAAGGCTTTATTTATGCATCCAATCTCCGCTAAAGGGGTAGGCAGAGTTCTTAAGATGTTTGTTTGGATAAAATCATCTGTGTCAATGTTTACACTATGATTATCTGTACTGTAATGGTCCCAATTTTTTAAGTGCTTTGCTTTTGTACCGTTTGAGTAAAGAATATAATGTTCATAGACGTGTTGATATAGAGAAGGTCTTGCGTGTTAAGCTCATTTTGTTCTAGAAGTTATCTACTAGCTGTACCTAGCACAGATTCTGAACTTTTGCCTGGTATATGCCAATAGATCTCCTTCGTGTAGATTTGAAACATGACTGGCGAGAAATAGTGTAAGCAATATGGCCTATTCCCACGTAAACGATCAACTTTATCCACCTCTACGTTACAAGTCGCAAGATCAAGGTCAAAAAGCTAATTTATCTAAAGAAATATCAAACAAACAAACAACCGAATTATAAATTAAATTATAAACAAAATATCCGAGAATTGCCCTTTCTCTAAATGATATCAGTACAGGTTTTTCGTGTAATAAATAAAAATTCATTGCATGCAGATTATTTGAAATTTTGGAGGCGTTCCAAGCACGCTTCCCATATGACAAGCTTAAGCACCACAACATTAATAAAGTGTCCAAAGTTCTGAAATATTTCAAATTCTTTGTTCAAAATAAGAAACATTGGTGAAGTTCTCTCAACTAAATCGTGTTTAACATGTCTTTGGATTGCTTTTAACAAAATGTTGGCTTGTTTCTTTAGGTACTATTAGGCTTAGGATAGAATGGGAAATGGTTATATCAACCGATAATACTGTCTGCCAACGCAAACACCTACTCAATAATGTCGACCTGATCGAAAGAAACGTAACATAGCATTCCTACGATGATGACATACATGTCATACATTTTATATACACTTTTGCCAAACATACTTGGACATAAACAATTAAACATATCTACTAAAACAGTCTACAGTACGTCTATTGCTTGAAAGGAGGTGTGTCTTGTCTATTCCAAATTATCTAATATGTTCAGTTTTCGTCAGCTATATGATTAGTCCCATCTAAGCCCACTATAAAAATGGGCTAGCAACAATTTCAAATATCGAAAACCTAACAGTCCATCATGTGGATCGTGTACCGGCGTTCTGTCTCTCCAAGATCAAAGTAAAAAGGTTACAATACGTTGTTTTTTTAATCACCAGTGGCAATATCAACGGAACTTTTCCTGAATTTCTTCAACATATGCGACATACCGACCGCGTACATCTAATCCGTCCGTCCGACTACATCGAGTCTGCTGTATCAGCTTACCAAGTCTTTCGTCATCAGAACCTGACCAACACCGGACAAGTCTTTCAACTTTTGTCAAACAATCGTGAGGATATATCGTAGTCATTAGAAAATATTCTTAAAGCTATTTTTTATAACCGTCTGCAGTTTCTATTACAAGTAAATTCTAACTATACTTCGCGGTTTCATCCGCATACAGGTTTCAAATGTTAGGTAGCCTTCTTCAATAAAATGGAATGCATTTCCTTCACAAAAAGGTAAAAAAATAGCTGTACGACGTAACTCTATTTGATTTATAATGCCCTATTATTTATAATTGCAGGTGGCGCGGTACGCGTTAGAAGACCACACGCCGCCGAATATTGAGTTGATACAGCCATTTTGTGAAGATGTCCACAACTGGCTGTCTGCTGACTCCAAAAATGTCGCCGCCGTGCACTGTAAAGCGGGCAAGGGACGGACGGGTAAGAATTTATATCATTTGGTTATTTCTTCAGTATAATTCAAATAATGTAAAACGTTAACAAAGCGAAGAAAGTTGTATCAGCCAGGTGGCCCGTGTGAAACATTTTTTTACTATTCCTTTTGACTCGAATCGTAAAAGTCGTTTTGTGCAACTATAAATGGCATCCTTCCCTCAACACCGACAAAGAAGCCCTGCAGCGGGTCCCAACATTAAGTTGACACTTTCGCCAGTCCACGCAATAAAGTTGCAAGTAAAAACTCCAAAGGGGTTGATGCCCAATTTTAGCATTCAGCAACAGCTCCATTATTCGTCGACAAACGTGACCTTTTTGCGTGCACTCCATTTGTTAATGTGTATCGCTACATCGCACATTAAAATATCAAAAGAATAAATTATTACGTACTAATATCATTCCAGACAGATAAAAGTTAGCATAATAGGTCCCAGAACGTTTTCGGTAACAAAGGTTAAAGCAACAAATTACACGTGCCACGTTATTGCCTATAGAACGGATGGCCGGGCCGGCATTGTTGCACGAACAAAAATGAGACGAAACCTCAAAGGCGTAATTGCGAAATTTCTTTACACGCCATAATTGGTCGTATTACCACCGTACCGGCTTTCACGCCGAAGTCGTAAATTAAAAAAAGGTCCTTTTCAAACCGCCTCCTTTTTTGTGGGCTGCCCCGAAGGGATATAAAAAGTGTAGGATTGCTGCGTGGACGTGAAATGAGCCGTGTTTGTGCTACAAACCTCGCTTATTTAGACCACTTCGATTTTCCATCGACATATTATTTAATGGAAATGTTAATGTTCACACAAGTTTCGGTATAGCTTTTTATGTGCGGTTCTGATGTTATCTAAGCAGACTGACACATAATGTACGATTTACATACGAATACAGCTATATATTATATTTATAGTTGCAATTCTGAGCTCTGGTCCATTGGGATCTTCACATTACAACAAAGTCGTAAATAATTCTATCGATCAAGTAAAATTTAACGGTTGTAAACGTTTCAAGCACCGCCCACATCGTGGATCAAAAGGAAAGAAAGTTCCTATTTTTTTATTTGGAAAGAATTGTATAGAAAAATTGTTAGTACATGGTATAAAAATATAATGTTTTTGTGTTACAGGGACAATGGTGTGTTGCTACCTACTGTACAGCCGACAGAAAGCGTCTGCGGACGAAGCCCTTAAGTTCTACGGCACGAAGAGAACCCACGACGAAAAAGGTATTTTGTAACTTTACGGGCTTTTTTTTGACTTGTGCTCGGAGGATAAGAATGCATTTTTTATTAACTTTTTTTTGGAAACATGCTTCAGTCTTTTCCTTCCGAGCTCTGTGAGCTTAGTTTTCTTCCATTTTAAAGGGACTAGGGGCCTTTTTCTAGTGTTTCTAGGTATAAAAGATACGCAAGACAATGTTCCACATATCTAAATAATATATATATAACGTCACACCTTTTTTATTCCCCAATGGGAAGGCAGAGGTGCATATTATGCCACTACAATGTAACACCCACTTTTCACTATTTATGTTATGAGACCCATGTAATAGGGGGTGAGCCTATTGCCATATACCGGGCACAATTCCAGACTCTGTGCTACTACTGAGAATTTTAAACTAAATAAAATGTAACTGTATGAAATAATCCCATCAAGTAATACATCCATGTTAATTACCCGCCGGCCGGCTATTCGAAACGAACTCGATAACTTTCATAAAGGCACACTGCACGTGTCAATTCTCTTCAATAACTTTGACATAATTGTAGCAGGCACCGCGCATTTTCTATGCAAATGACACTTTATTGTTGTTATAATTTGTATGAAACACGTGTTATCGATTACAGGCTGTCTGCTGTTGCCTGAACACTTAGTATTGGATGTATTTAGTGTCTAGTACTCTAGTGGTGGGATCGTGTTTCTTTTTTATATCGCATATTTAAGCGTATATCATGACTAAAGTCTTTAACACGTTAAACGCCATGGGTGACCGTTGACCGGCGTTAGCGGAGGATTTACCTTCAACAGTTTTTTATTGGCAGTCAAAGTCTTAATGTAGGTAAATTAGCATCTCTGCTCTGCTTCTGTCACAAATGTATCGGATTTTCAACGTTTCTTAATATATTCTTACTACAAAATAATTTCTCGATAAGGTTACTAAAGTACTTTAGAGTGCAGGTTAACCGAGTTAAGATAGTCGGTGACCATACTCGAGGGAGTGTTAGACTCTTACTGACTAAAAACCTCCCCGTTCCTACTACAGGAGGCTTAGTACAAGTTTGTCTTACGTTTAAAGTAATCGAAACGAGCCCTCGCTCGGCGCTGTGATTGGTTCTTTCATTGGAGCCGGCCAATCATAGCGCCGAACGCGTACTCGTTTCGATTACTTTTCACGTAAAACAAACTCGTACTAAGGCCTCTGAACGTCGAGCCGGAGCCCCGTGTAACCTGTTAGGTTCTCCGCGACTGTTTTTAGAGCTTAGGAGACTTATTTTTACTTCATTTTCGTAGATACGTTCATACAAACTTGTCACCTAAACGGGATTTTATGACGTATGAATATTTATCGTGGTTTTATATGTTTTCTAATGCCGCAAATAAATATAAAACCCCACTTTATCTATATAGGAAAACACTCTCCTTGAACGTAGTCTTGATGCAAATTATATTCCCCACCCTTTGCCTAGGTATTCCCCTAAACTTATAATATAAGTTATACGTATTTAACTACGTCATATAGCTCAAGTTTTCCATGGAAAGTTTCAATAAATTAAAATTTAATTTAATACAAAATAGAGCCGTCACTTAGTCTTATTGAAATTAAATTTCATTGGAAAGCTTCTATCGAGTTCTGTGAAGCTTCTAATATGTCAAATGGCCCTGATTGGCTATGATTCTCCGTTATTGGTTGCATGTAAACCTTTGGTACAGGTTCGCGATATAATTTAATATGAAAATTTAATTACTGGTTTATTTTTCAAAGATTTTTGGAGTATGGATAATCATCAAATTTTTTCTCCCGCTATTTGTGAGGCGGGAGGGAGTATCAGACTCTTACTGACTAAAAACAACCCCGTTTCTACTTCTGATTGCCAAAAAATAAGAGTTTTAATATATTATTGGAACTTCATACAGTGATTTTTATTATATTTAGGACCTTTTGGGACAATATCATGCATAAATCTGAAATCTACAGTTGTTGCCAATTTCTAAATAGAATAGTCATATTATAATACCCCGATAGAAAGGAATACACACATACAAACAAAATAATGTCTCTTGGGAATGAAAATAAAATTTTGAAATATTTTGAGGGCAGTGGTTCGATATAAAAAATTAAATGTTACAGTTTATCAGCGCGGTCTGGTTTAATTTTGGTTTCCGCACGAGCTCTGTTGTGATAACCCTGGATAGAGTAGACGAACACATTCCAATAAGGTCAAGGTTTCTTTACGTATGATCATTAAGTTGCCATTTTAGTAATGCTACGTTTGGCAAAATTAATCGCTTAAATATAAGTGACGAGAGTGATTGAAGGGTTTGTAACGTGTTCTCCAATAGTGATAGTCTATAAACATATTTTTCAAATACACAGTATTTATGTGTAACCTGAAAAATATTTTTGTGTTGTGGTAGTTATCTCTGCAGGAAGGCAGTGCTCAGGGAGCTGGTCTAAAATGTTTGACGCCGCATTTCTCTATAAACACTTAGTCTTTCTAAATATTGTGTTCGTTTCAACCAAAAATAAACACAAAATGCTTATTTTATAAGCCAATTTATTCAATTCAAACACGTGAGAACGAAAGTAGTAGGTATATCTTAAAAATACGACCTGTTACCGTGGAACAGACTGTAGCATTTCCTAAACTTTCGGTAACATACCTGTTGGCCCCCAAACTAGCCACGAATGAGAGCTAAGTGGTCAAGTCAGTCCTTAAGTGGGATGTTATCCGATTAACTCGTCGAGTACCTTCATTATAGATACAATTATAGAACAATAGGTTGCGGTCACCGGTGACCGCTTGGTGTTTGACAGTTTAATCATGATGTTAAACTAAATGATGTCGTGAATGTTTCCAGGCGTGACGATTCCGTCGCAGCGCCGCTACGTGGAGTACTACGCGGCGCTGGTGACGTCGGGGCTGCAGTACTCGGCCACGCGCGTGCACATCCGCGAGCTGGTCATGTCGCCGCCGCCCACGCTCAACGGCGGCACCTGCTCGCCCGAGCTCACCGTCTCACAGGCACAGCCTTCCTTCAAGGTACATGGACCTATACTGCGATCCTGAACTATTTATGTAGAAAACTTTACGGTGGCTGGGCAACTGACTGCCACAGCCCAGTGGCTGTGACAGTGACGGCACGGAACAACAATCTTTCTGTGATCCACAGATTGTTGTTCCTGGTCTGAATGTCGTTTGTATGTGATCTTGTATGTTTATAAACGCACCCACGACACCTGAGAAAATCCCAGTGTGGGGACCCCGTTTTTTGTAAAGTACCTAATTTATTAACGAATCATACTTCCATAGTGATTCCGGGTACTTGACGTAAAGTTTTGTGAATGAACCTACACTAATTGGATACAGGTCTATAAAATAACAGTTTTCTGTTGGACTTGACAATATAAAATCTCGATTTACCTAATCATACGGTCTCTTCAATGGTTCTACACGCTAATTTTAATTTCCTCGATATAATGCAGTTTTTTATAGTATATCTTTTCCTCAGAATTTTGGTAATTAACTCGTCGAGTACCGTCAATATAGACACAATTAAAGAACAATAGGTTGCGGTCACCGGTGACCGCTTGGTGTTTGACAGTTTAATAGTAAAAATAATTTCTAGGAAGAACATTTATTGAACAACAAATTGACTATCGATTCAGTGTTCAATCCTTATACATCAAAACATAGGACAATATACCACCACCAGGACAATATACCCACCTACAGTATCGTCAAAGCTCTGATTCCACTTGCAGACGCCGTCAGGCTGCCACGAGGTCCGCAAGGACGAGGGCAGTATCCGCGTGTACCTGACTCACTGCACGCCGCTGTACGGGGACGTGCGCGTCGACGTCTACAACAAGCCCAAGATGAAGATGCGCAAGGAGAAACTCTTCCATTTCTGGTTTAACACCTTCTTCGTGGCTGCCGGCGTCGGCGCCGAACGAGTGCCCGCGTTAGATGACAGTTAGTATGCCTGTTTTAATCAATATTTATTCTACCAAATGTTTGCAAACTTTCTTCTTCTTCTTCCCATTATTCTGTATGTCTGTAGTCTGTACATTTTGATATGTATTTGAAATAGAACTCACGATGAAAGCCACGTCTTGTGCCTTCCAATTTGAAATGTAAAGGAACTTCTATTTTAAACCTAAGGACCACCCTAAATTATTGTTCTGTATTGTAGGGTGGCTACAATTGTGGGGTATTTTTTTTAAAGTTGACACGTCATTGTAACTTTTTCAGGTCCAAACTTGGAGGCTTTCAAGCTGACGTTAAATAAGTGGCAGTTGGACGAGGCGCACAAGGACAAGCAACATAAACACTATAGTCCAGACTTCAAGGTAAATATTACTAACGGAATTCAGGGTCCTTCATAACCTGGCTTATTGTTCCTTAATTGGGGTAAAAATTCATTTACGATCTGTTTTCCCATCTAGCCACCTTAGACAGTAAACATATTATTAATATTGTTTTGAGATGCACCTAAATACAGATGTTATAATCGACATCATCGGTCGTAAGACTAATTTAAGTCTCCGTCGTTTTGTCTTACAAATAAGAGTACACAGCATGCTTTTGTAACAACGAATTATACTTGACCATCCACAATATTTCCAGGTGGAGCTAATAGTACAGAAGATGCCGATGTCGTCGACGTTCAGCGGGCACCCGGCGCGCGAGTCCCCGGCGGTGTCGTCGTCGTCGTCGTGTTGCAGCGAGCCGGACGACGCCGAGCCCGACGCGCACTGGGACTCCGGTGAGCTGCCCATCACTCTGCTCACTCTCTCGCGGTAGAATATATACGACTACTTGACTGCCAGGGCCGGATTGTAGGACGGATTAGGCGGGAAATTGTTTTATTGTCGACTATAGATTGGTCTCAATAAGTTACCTGTTGGTAGATTTTGCTACTACATATATGAAGAATTGGGGTTTGCTACTAAAGTTAAATACGTATTTGACGACTTTATATAAGAGAGCTGTTAGTGTTTCACGTCAATTATTGTCATAAAAGAACTAGAGAAACACAAAAACGTTCGTTTAAAGTTACATTCTTAGAAGATATTTTATTGAAATTAAGCTATACTTGCACTTTTAGTACTACTGTACTGTATACGCTACTGCGTATTCTACTGACAATCTACTGACAAGTATGTTATTGAGACTGGTCATAAATAAAAAACAAGCGTCGACTAGTACTATCACTCGATATTGAATCCGCCCCTGTCCTACACAAGACTACAAACTGGGTGTCGTTAACCAATAAACAAGGACTTTATACCTTAATGTGCTAAATAAAAAGTTAGTTTTAACTCGTTCTTAAATAATTCTAGTGTGGATGTGTGAATCGTGTTATGCGGTTTTTTGTTTTGTTGAATATTACACGTGGACGCTAAGCGTTCACTGCAATTTATTAATTTGTGTGCGTGCAATGTGATAGGATGCAGAGAAAACTAATTTTAAATATGCTACGAATTGAAAAAAGTAGGTAAAACTTACTGTTATCTTATTATTCAAAAAGAAACTGTTTAAGAATCTTAGCTGTACGTACATACCTACCATATTGCACGAACACGTATGTTAGTGATAAACGGTTTGATAGTTTATGTTATAAATAACGTTTATATATTATTTAGTAGACAGGACTTAGTATACCTTAATGCGGAGAGGCGGCACGGGCCGCGCGTTGATCTCTTGTACCGATAACGAATTTCTTGACTGTTCTTTTGATGTCAGTACTTTGAATATTGTTAGTTTTGATAAAATAATACTAGATAATCACTATATTTGTGAAGTTAAAGGACCTGGCTTAACTCGAAACCATTCGAGCAAGACAAAAATGTCAACTTTAATGTAATTACAACTTCATTCCTGTGTGAAAACGATTGTAACTAACTCTTATAGTGTTTTATCAAGACTAGCAATAGTAAATTTAAACTACTGACACCAATAACACAAAATGGTTAGTTATAAAAGTAAATAAGTGTGTTCTAATTAGACGTTACGTTTAGATCTGTCGGAAGGGGTATTTGTTCGTGTGTCCCGTTTACTTAACGTTCTTGGTGCTTCTAGAATGTTCCATGCTATGTTTTCGACTATACATACATAGAGAATGGTGATTTTAATTATTGCTAGGGCAGGTAATCACTGTGTTTGTTAATCTGGGTGATGGTTCACGGAGTATGTGGTGTTTGGTGTCTTTAGACGGGGCTTACAAAAGCTGAAATATATGTGTAAAAAGGTTCCTATAAAATTACCCATATATTTGTACTTGTAGATTTACAGGCCGAAAAGAATTTAATGTAAGATCATTTTTGGAATGAAAAGTCATTTTTATTGGAGATTGGATTCCAAAAGATTATAATGTTTCTCTCAGTTTTTAATATTATTTCTACAGACATCAAATAACCATATTCTATTCGTCCAAAGAATCATCGAAATAAAATGAGGTGGTAATTAGGAAATTAACATTCTTTGCACTAAGTATGATGCAAGATATATCATAGGTACAAGTTATGCTTTTATGATAACTATCGTGAGACATACTAAATTAACTAAAAATCGCGGGTTACCTACGTGAATATACTGAAAAAAGCTCTACCAGTTTCGAACTACAGAGGGGCTCGTAGGCTGCGCGACATCGCCGCGACCGCGCACGCTGCTCATGAGGAAGAACCCCTCTGTGGTTCGAAACTAGTAGAACTTTTCTCAGTATATTCACGTGAGTAACCCGCGATTTTTAGTTAACTTAGGTACAAGTTAGTTGTACTTTTATTTTGATTTGATTTTCCATAATTATTATCATAATATATCACTCAATTTTGAAAGCCAAGTGAAGTAGACATTACAATTTGCAATAAGACATGATATTCAAAGACCATTTTATTGGAATTCAACTAATTTTCTGTTAGGTAGATTCGTCGCTTTCCTGTAGCTGTATCCAAATGCCATTTAGCGCTTGTCTACATGTAGAATAGTCAACCAAATTATATGGGATTGACGTAAATTTTGACACTTGTTAGTGTCATCCCCATACATTTAGTTTTCTAGTCTCTCTGTAGACAAGCGCTAAAGTGGCGTTTTTGGCTAAAGGCACTGATTTGAATATTAATAAATCTTGAAGAGTCCCATATATTTGTAACAGAAATAAAATCCTCTGAACACTTAGCAAAACATAAAATTAGTTGAATTTCTCCTCTGAAGAAGAAATAAGTACGTTACACCTAGCCATACATCTACGACTTACACATTGAAAATTAATAACTTCTTAATCTTAATACAAAATCTATGGATTGATCTACATTTTTGATAGAAATTCAATTGAATTAATGTCAAAATTTGATCATTAAACCAAAGATTTTATTATAAGATTGGTTATTAATTTAAATTATTAGAGTCAGTTTATACGGGCGCTGAATCAAACTGCATCAAAGCAAAAATCTATAAAAATCGCATTCACTTATGCGTGCGCATTTGTGCACTTTCGTTGACGTCTTGTTAAATTTTCGACCTACCTAATATGTACTCTGTGGAGATAAGGTTAAATGTATTTTTGTTGAGTCTGCGCCGGTGTATACTGAGTGAGTCGTAGTGCGGCGGGTGCAGTGAGTGTGTGCCTGTGCAGGGCGGGGTTGCCGCCGCGTGGGCCACTACCGGCCGCTGTCGCCGCGCCACGCCCACACGTAACTATCCAACACTTACACGCATCGCGCACGCTTCCACGCACCGCCATAGCAGACCGCGGATTCATTTACTTATACACCTATGACAATATTTCTGACTTTAAGTCTGTCTACAGTGAGTTTTTATACAAAATATTGATAAAAATTACCGATATGCTAGTTAGAAGCGTATTTAAATTAATTATCTACTTAGAAAACAGTAGCTACTGATACAAATTTCATTAGATTTGGTGTATAAGCAATTTTGCTAGTCATATGTTCAATAAAACTTCCATATGTGACTGACATCCTGACCAAAATTAACAAAATGTAACATTTTATTAGAATTATCCCCTAGTACTTAGTAAGCTCAGATATTTACATCCCGTATAGAGAAACGAAAACTCTTTTAAAATATAGATTAAGTGACATAGAAATAAAGACTATTTTTCTACACCTCATTTGCGTATCATGAAACTGCGTTATGTTGCTGTATTTGTATAGCACGTTTTGTCACTGACTGCTCGGCTTTCACAATAAACATCAGATGCTTTAGCCAGGATGACTGTCTATAGTCGATAGCGCTATAGGAAATGGAAATAAATAGATATTGGATCAGTTTATGACTTACCGTTAAAATCGCCATGTATTTGTTTCATTTTCTGTAGTTGTATACAAGGTATAATAAAATAACTCGAGACCTTTCAGGTTCTAGTTCATAAAATTCAATGTTGTTTAATATTTACAGAAATGTAAGATAATCTTAATTTTATTCCCGGATTCCCAAGTGTTACTTTAATAATTGTTCAATAACTATAGAGGGCCTTGCATAATTATACACGGCTTACTCAAGATAACTATTCGAGTTACTCAACTAGTTTCGTGCTATACTGGAACTCATAATCATAAACTGCTTATTGCTTTTAAACGTTATTCAGTTTTATACCCTGAATTAGCATCTGCAAGGTCTTTCGTTTATTCTGTTAGTCCTTATAGATAGTCAACCAGGCTAAGGCAAGCAGCTTTATTTCGTTCAATATCGTTCATAAGTCCGTTCATTGCTTGTACCACCGCATCGTCACGATAGGATCGTTCGCTCGTTCGCTGTGTGTGTAACTGTCTACTTATATCATTTCTACATGTTTCTTGTTCTAATATCCGTTTTTCTAATGTGTTCGTCCTTCTATTTATGCAATAATTATTTTATGTCTGAAATCTTGAATGTCTTTTTAAATGTTTTCGATTTGATCAAAACTCATCCTTAAAATTTGGATGCTATAGTTTATTTTACATTGCAAATATTGTGTTAATAACGTTCAAGATGTCACTAATTTTGTGCTTTAATTTCGTCTTGTGCATGCTTTAATCGTATATGAATGCTGTTTTGTCCTTATTTTTTCTGCTGCACTTTTGTTTTGGACAAAAGTTTAGTAATTTTGCACCGTTATTTTTAGTTTTTAAACTGAAAATAATGGTTTACCTGCTCATCATAACTCCCTCTGTGTGGATTGTGTTATGTGTACATATTGCGAACGAATTCATATTACCTCATACTATATTTAATTACATATAATTCATTTAATACCCGGCGGAAACTGTGACTGCTTCTATTCTAATATGATTGTAGAAAATAATGGCTATTGTTTACAATAAATATGAGTATAGTATCAGAAACACAACAATTAATATGTACTTAATATGGGAGACAATAACATGTCTGTCTTTGTGTCACAGATTTTCCGCCCGGTATACATACATGTCCCTAACATACATTCGCTGTACATTGCTCGCTTTGCAGAGTTTGAACGCATCACACACGCCACATACGGATTTTTTTTAAACGCCTCTTGTTATTTTTTGTTATATTTCTTTATTCCTTCATAGTAAATAAGGCGTTTAGAAAATATGTTTACATCATTTGTTTGAATTTTTCGGCTTTAATTTATCATTAAATAATCTTTGTTACTGTTATCATAATTTTAATCAAATGCTTTTACGTGTAAAGTTGCTTGAATTTAAGTGTTATTTGTTATTGAAAGCCTTAAAATTCAAACAAATGTGAATCTGTTCGTGGCATATGTTATCGTTCAAATGCTTATATGGGTTTCTTACATTTTCAGGTGAATCGACATACTTGTGAGGTTGGCTCGGGCCCTCGGTGACCTCTCCACACTTCTATAAATAAACCCCGCTTTACTCCCACCCTACTGGCAAAGGCTTGAACTTGTAACACGGTGCCGAAACACTTATAACCTTCAATCCTAGTGATGTTTACTGAACAAGTAGTGCTCTATGTGTGTCTAAAATGTGTAGATATTTAACAAAAATGAGCGGGTTGTGCCATTGCCGCGTACCGACGGACTAAACGTACGGTTTGGATAAAAAAAAACAAGTTTTTGTGATAATAATAGTGTGCTGAATGGACAACTGCGTCGACGTATCGACGTATGGGAGATATCGTTTCATTTCACCCGTTCACAAGCCGTCGAAGGTATCGACTTTAAATTCTATGGTCACAAGGTATGTTTCTTGTTATAACTCTTATGACTGATAAGTACATTTCTCGGTATTTTTTTTTAATTGTAAGCTTTGGCCATTGTCATAGATGTGTTTCAGTGAATAAACAATTTGTACTTTTTAATGTCATAGACTATACAAAGAGTTAATAGCGTATTCTGCCGAATTTTTAACAGACTGAAATTATTACCGGTGAATCAGATGGTTAGATGTTCTTAGATCACTTCTGTTTAGGAATGGGTTCTATTGATGATGGTAAAGCAATGTGACTCGCTTGAATAGATGAGAAATAATATTGTCTGTTGAATTTATGTATTTAGAATTCATTATCAATGTAAGGTGGAATGGTGACGGTTATTCAACGTGTTCATTGAAATACGTAGAGAACAGTTTGTTTTTTCATTTAATAGTCCTCAGCGATATGACAAGGGGTTTATGAGTTCCAATAGAATTATAACTTAGTTACAACTGTCTCTATAAACGTCACCATTGCCCTAATCTAGACGTACCTAGTCAATGTCTTTGAAATGACTTGAAAATGTAAAAAAAATATTAAGGAACCAATTTCTAGGTGCTCTTATTTCTTTTTAATTTGATAATAAATCATCTTGGTTAACCGGCCTCATTGTTGACCGATATATTGAAGAGAAATTGTCTGTTTATTTCATACATTGTACCATATAAATGTCGGCTTCACTTATTTATAAGTATTTTTTTTTATTATTGATAAAGAACTACAATATGCCGTGTGTGCGAGGCAGATTTTCCCACCATTTCGACTAAGTCCATTGACGGACAGTTTTTTTAATGTTTTTTTGTATACTTTCGAAAGATCTCACTAACTGCCGTCATAAATGTAAAAATTTTGTTAGGCTTGGTGTGACTACTGTGACCTTTGCTGATACACATTTTACATAGACCCTCTAATTCAAGTTATACTTAAAACATAGTCATAAATCCTTCAATAGCTTCAATAATTCTTCCTTCAATACAAAATGCATGCTCCATACAAATGTGTATCAAAAATATCACAGTAGACACTTTGTTAGTAGAAAAAAAACTTCCAAAAAACAAGTTTGATACTTGACACAATTTTATGAAAGGAACTGAAGGCCTAGTAACCTTAAATTTTGACCCTCGGCTAGTCCGTTACCTGAACTAAGATTAAAATGTAATACATAATATTAATTGTTATATGTACCTAGTAATACATACACTATTATATTTATTTCCAATACATTGCACCGTCTCTATCGTGTCGTTAACGAATGTTATTAATTTGACTGTTGTGTGAGAGAAATGGAATACAAACATTAATTTGATGGTTAAAGCTAGGGTGGTCACTTGTGAAAAGTACAAATGGTTGCAAATACTAGGTCTTCTAAGAGAATGGTTCTCTACGCTGTGTGCGAGGGAGACAACACGAGTTTTCGTGCGTTCGTATGATTTAAGACCTTTTCAGTGCACACAAAAATGTATATCTGTGATTTGTGTAAATTGATTTATTATTATTAGCAATTAATAAATGTACAGATTTCATTATAATAGCGATTTCATTAAAATAAATTGAAGGATAAAATAGCCTGTAATATTTTCAATGTTTTAGCATTATTTATATGTGTTTGTTGGCATTGGAAAGGTTGTAAAGCCTGGAATATTCGAACTGATTTGCTGATATGCAATGTGTTTTTTGTGTTTTTGCAATTGAAGTATGTTAAACTAATAACAACCAATGTTTGGACTACGAATGGAGAGGTTTATCTTCTGGATTCATATGAAGTTGTTTGAAAAGAAGATACAAGTGCTGTTTCACATGTTTGACAAACTTACGCAATGATTTCTGTACAAGAAGTAGTAACAATGCAAGTTCGTTGACCTAACAACTCTATGAATCCTAGAAAGTAAAATCTCCATTCCTAGCATCAGTTGCAGACGATATCTGTGTCTTAAAAAGTTGGATGAAAAGCCGATTTTTTTTATTTAATTGTAAATATTATTGTTACGATACATTAGTGGTTAATCGAGATCTGTTTTTAAATAAGTAGGTTGTCTTACAACCTAGCGCCTTTAAAAAGTTTTATCAATTTGACAAAAGCATATTGAGCGTTGTCTATGGCTGGTCCATTTGCAATGGAGAGAAATGAATAATGTCTAAACCAGGTGTTTACTTCGTTCTGTTATTTTATTAGCTTTCACGAATTTTATTTAGTTTTAATTTTGCTGCTACCTACCCATCACATGTTATTCAAAAGTTTTTATATCTGAATTAGTGACTGAACTGACTATACTTAGGGTGGATTCAGCCTTCTCGGTGTAAAACAATACCAGGCATAGAGCTAAGTTTGAAATAAAAGAATGAAATAACACCATTTCTCGTTTAGGTTTCTATGACGTTTAGGAGAGTTCACGGTTATTGTGATATAGGGCTTCGTAGGTGGATGGCGGCTCGAGCACTTTGCACGGAGTCTGAGACACGGATACCCAAGTGTAGTGCAATATGTTTGGGCCGGAGTGCAGTTGTTGTGACGGGTTTATCGCAAATGCCAGTAATTCGATGCGGAGAGTGATTTGCAGGCGAATCGAGTGTATCGAGTGGACATGTGTTGCCTAGCCTAGGTTTTATACTTCCCCTAGTGTATGACGGATGTTTCATTGCGATGGCGCGCGATTGGGAATGTGTACACGTGGTACATGCCGTGAGTGACAAGTAACATGTCTCGCTGCTCTGGCCTACTACGGTTTGGAAGTAATGCGAATGTGAGGCGAAGTGATGGATGGCATTTTGGACAAACTCGCTGAAGTGTAATGTAGTACGTAAGCAATGGTTATTGTAGTTAGGTTAGATCGTGTCTAGATAGGTTTAAATAACGTCATAGAAACGAACAGAGCTGCTTAAGTTCGAAATGACAAAAAATATTTTCTTTTTTTGATTCTTTTAGGCATTACGATTTTAATTTCTTTATACGGCTAAGACGGAGTCACACGAAGCTTCCAGTTTAAAAACGTTTTTATTAAGTGTCATGAATTTGTTTTTTTTTTTCATTAATTAGTTTGTAATTTTTTAATTGTATCGCTTCAGATTTCTAGTTATCTGTTAAGTATATGTATTTGGCTCAGTAATATTTTTTTTTAATCTAAAATTTCTATGCGTCATTTTAACTTCCGATTTGTAAATAAGGATGGTGAAATTCTAAATTACTGTTTTTTTATATAATATTTTTGTGCTAAATTTTATATAAGCAGCGAATTACAATCTATTTGGCGTCCGGAGGTTAATATACGCGTATATATCATCAAGTACAAATTTAGGAGTTGTTAGTTTCTTTCGTCTCAGATAGACGGAGCGGACTAAGTCATTAACTTATTCTCCAATAAAAATATAATATTTTTTAATGAAAATATTTGGATAAACAGCCACCTCTAGTATTAAAATTACCCCCATTCCAGGAAAGTGGTAGACGTTCGAATTTTGTTTTTATTGTATTCGCACGAAAGTTCGTTATCGGTTAACCGCTCGACCTCCCCTCTCCCCTCATCAAAGGTTTAGCTTTAAAGATTGTTGTTTGCCTTATAAAAAAATGTGATCTTATGAGGATTATACTTAAAGGGTGTCGCTGTATGTTGCGGTCGTAGGCGACAACGTTTGATGACAAGCAATAGCCTCCAAAGGCTCAAAACTCACGTATTTTAAATCTTCATAACCAATAATTTTGGATGACCGGATCGAAGGTCCCTGGCACCCTGACATGCCTATTTCTTGCCGTCACTATTGCACACTTCTACAGGACTGTTTTCCTGATTTCTTACTTTATTTTCTTCTTTTTTTTTTATGCGGCTTCCTAAAAAGTGAATGCGTTTATTGTTTTTTCTTGAAGTCAGAATATGATGACGTTTTATTTTATAATTCTGTTACATTTCGTGTAATGTCCTTTTTCTACTTAATGCTATTCTATTTAGACAGCATATAATTGTGCATACTTAATCCTATGGAGAGAAAATCCTTTATTTTAATGTCTATCTGTACCATTTTTCAACCGACTTCATAAAAAAGGAGGAGATTCTCAATTCGACTGTATTTTTTTTTCTTATTTACTAGCGTTGTCACCGGCAGTAACACAAGTCACACAAACAATAACTATTATTCAGTTTTCGTTATAATTTCAAACGCGCCTACGTCCGCAACAAGTATGAAAGAATAATGCCTTGTTTGTATAATGAATATGGTAACATATAAAAAGAATAATGAATTATCTAATATAATAAGACTTTGACAATGTTCGATAGGCTCAGTAAAGATGACTGTCAATTGGATACACTGGCGAAAAGGGCTTTATTGGTTCGTTGGTCCAATCATTCATGTTGCGACTAAATTCAGTTATATATACACAGTACCTATATCTCTGTCAATATCTTTACTTTTATATGTCAATTTGACAGTATAATTTTGCTATTTTACAGATGAATATGTACATTGTTTTTGTCACAATGTATTGTTGAGATTTTAAGGATTTTACACTCTCGAAGCACTTTTCTGCGTTAGTCGCAACACGAATGATACGAATATGGCTAGTCAGCGACATGCTCTTGGAAGATACGAACACGACTGTCACGGATGTGTAGTATTTCTTGTATATTGTTAATCAATTGTAAGGAACTATGACCGATACGTCGTTCTGTTAATTGCAAATGCGACAAGTCGTAGCGAGGACAGGGGGCTTTTGCGATCGATTTTCCTTAACACTGGTAAAGCCCTCTCCGCATATAATGAAACTAAAAGAATATAATTTTTTTATAAATCTTAAGAAAAATTCTTAGTTTCACAGTAAAGTAATACACTGTAAATTATTTCTTATCTTAGTAAAAAGATCTCATCACCTTATTTTTTTTGTTTTGTCTTTTTATAATTATTTTGAGAAGCAGATTAGTTGATTTAAAGACAATCAATGTAAAATAAAACTTATGGATGTATATAATTTGATTGTTTCATTTTTACCCTTCAAGAAAGCTGTGTTCAACTGTTAGTATGCTGAGATAGTAGTCTGGCTGGATGCATTTTGTAAGTATATGAAAACAAGTGAGTTGACTGCCTCATTGGCCGAGTGGTTGAAATTGCGACTGCCGGGCAAGGGGTCTCGGGTTCGATTCCCGGGTCGGGCAAAGTATTACTAGGTTTGTAAAAACCTCAGTAGTAGCATGGAGCCTGGAAATGTGTCCGGTATATGGAAAATGGCAATACGCTCACGCTCACTCACCCCCTATTACATGGGACGCATAACATTGTATAGTGGCATTAAGTGCCGTAATGTGCACTTCTGCCTACCCATTCGGGGATAAAATGCGTGATGTTATGTTAGTGTGCGTTACCCAGGCCAGATGTTGTCGAATATGGTCATTTGAATCTTATAGAAAATTACTTGTGCGGGTTCTGTAATTGTTGCGCACATTTTTAAATTTGTTGCCCTTATAGTTTTTTAATTATTTCACAAAAAACTTTTCCTGTTGCGATAACGTTACCCCAGCCAGACCTTTTTTTTCTAATGACAATATTTAAATAATTACTAGCTATAAAATCGGTTGTCCAGATGAAGTAAATGTTGTGCCTTATTTTGTATTTGTTCTTTCACCGGTTGCGAAGTTATTTGAGATTTTGCTGGGGTAACGTTTTTGATTTTGCTAGATCTTGTAAATGGTTAAGCGGATTGTTATCATATTTGGTACACGGCTTCTTAGGAATTAGTTAATAATATAATACATAGCTTAATGGTTATTTCAATAAATAGAAACGCAACAAATTGGTAGGTTGGTGCCCCCTAGTTTTTTAAAAATATTACAGTATCCAGAAACGAAGGCTACGAGCTTAATATACGTGAAAAATGAAGATAGTTTGGTTTCAGGTAAAACTTCCATAAAACTTAATTGAAGGAGTTATCATCGATTTCAAAATGACACATATCCGTGCCTGACGCCACACTTAAAAAGAAGTGATGGCACTGTGCCATCCGCAACGAATCGGTTAAAAATGTGCGCAAGAATTACAGAGTCAAATGACCATTTTCAACAACATCTGGCCTGGGTAACGCACACGTTATATTATGGGTTCGAGTCTTGGGTTCTTTGGATAATGTGAGTTAGAGACAAATTTTCATCAAAAACATGTTTATTAATTCACAATACACAAAATACTCATTGTAATTCTTATAAACTAAATACGTAGTACATTATAATTAGTCAAACACCCTGCTGGACTTGGTACCATATCGAAATATATTCGCAACAAATTATTTTATTTAACAGCTTCCTCGTAAGAAAATATGCACTAAAAACTTCTATAGTATTCATGTTTTTAATTAAAGCAAATGACAATAACAAGCAATAACATGCTGTGTTCATTGAGGCTCATCGTAAATTAAAACATTGTCAATGATGTTTTACTAGTCCACAGACTTATAGCCTTGTTTAAATTTATTAAATCAGGAGTAAGGTTTCAAATATGTATATTATATAAATGTTTTTAGATGTTGGTATATTATTGTTCTTACATAAAATATATACTTTATTATGCCAGGCAGATACAGTACAAAGTTACTTTTATTCCGTATGAAATAAAGTTTTTAAAGATTTTACCATGAACGTATTTTTTTTTTTTTTAAGGGGGGAAAATCATCGAATGACTGCTCTCGCCTGGGTGAGGCGGGAGGGAGTGTCAGACTCTTACTGACTAAAAACCACCCCGTTCCTTCTCCTGCGCGTCGAGCCGGAGCCCCGGTTACCCGTTAGGTTCTCCGCGACTCCGAACCATGAACGTATAGGCATAGAATATGCGGCGGTACAGAAAAACTACAGAGCCTCACCTAGATCTTTACATACTCCTTTAGCCTCATCATATGATATTATGGTACTTTTGTCAGAGATTAGCCAAATAATAACCAGTCAGGGTTCCCACTTTTAGAAATCTAGGACAACAAATATCAACAAGTAATATTCATGATATTGACAGAACAACAATTTTGTTTCAATACAAATTCATCACTATACAACTCTTATATTCATTATCTAGTATAAAAATAAAACAATTCTTTTTTTGTCGAAGATAAAATTGTAGTACATTGCACTTTCTTAGATTGTTTAAAAAGATCAACAAATCTGGCCGGACTTACCGGACTTGCCGGTATTATTTCAGCTGCTGAGCCGATCCCACTTAAAGGAGTAAGTATGTACATACCCCATTCATCTCTTACTCATTCTCTTTCCGAGTCTCATCATCAAAGCCCCTTTATGTGTACCTTATTCTGATGATGGACCATCTTCGCCCATTTTCCAGCGTCAAAATGATACTACCAGTTTTACCCCCTACTAACCAAGCACTATAGCGCTCCCCTTCCTCTACCCCTCCCCCTAAATCCCCCTCGGCCCCTAGGCCGCGCCCCCTTACTAGTGTTGGGAGGGCTCTTAGGACGAAGGGCCTCGATCCTCTCAGTACATCCAGTACTCTCTCGACCCTCTGTAAAGTATGAAGCATACAGTTCAGCGTTGAAGTTTGAGTTGGTCAGCTCATGGCCTATAGTGACCCAGCCTGGTCTGATCGTGGAGTCGCGTCCAAATAAGTGGATTCTGGAAGGTTGAAACAAGGTAATTAATATCGGAAATGATATTTAATCTTTTAAGACGTTTTGACAAAAACAAAAATGATTTCGAGACAGAATTGTCAGTTTTTTTTGTCTACCAGTGAATGAATCTAGTTGTAAGGTATAGATCTGTATGATGAAAAACTAGCAAAAATTTCATTTCAAGACCTAGAAAAACTGAAGAAGCAGTTCCAGTTACAAGCGTGTGCTTGTAGTACAGTTCCAGTTGTGTAACTGGAACTGTTGTGATTTGTAACTGGAGTGCCACAGAAAGAGAATAAATCATTCATACAAAAACAAAAAGTTGAAGTTGTAGACTATACATAAATGTGGCTAGAGAGATTTCAGTCCCCCAAAAAACATTCCTCAATAATTACCTTCTCCTGCCTAAACAAAAATGTTCCATGATATGGAATATCTCAATCGGCTTTTCACTGCTTCCGAACTCAGGATCCTCAGATATGATCAGATCTATATCAACATTGGCGTGTATGAAGTCACCGTCCACCGACCGCCTAACTGTGCCCTTAATGCCCATCAGACAATGTTCCTTCGTCCTCTGGAACACCGCATTGTGCTCAAGGTTCTTGGAATGTCCAGGATTTTTAATGTTAGTTTTGATCCAACAAATATCCTCGCAGCGACGGAAACCCCATTTTTTGAGGCATTCTCTACCCATGTCAAGACCTGGTAAATAAATAGGGTAAAATTATTTGGTGGTTCAAGGTTTCGTTAAAACTTATCAGTAAATACCTGTCAAAATTCTAGGCTTTGCAAAATTAACTTCACCTCTACTCCACAGTCAATGAAGATAATTGGGTTCAATTTCAGATCGGGCAAACTATTAATGAGATTATCGATTGCATAAATTCTTACAAAAATGTTACCTTCCGAGCTTCCGCACCACAGGAATATAAACGAGCGCGCCTGAGCAATTTGTTGCAGGTCCAGAGCCAGGACATCCTGCCAACGCCAGCCGGAGCCCAGAGGGGGTTCCACCAGGATCACGTCGAACTTGTTACCCATCTGCTTCAGGTCAAATGTCTGGAAAAAACATGGAGTGATGATGCATGAACAGTTCTCGAGAAACTAAGGTTTTTACTTTTCTAAAGTCATTTCTCGAGAAACATGTTTAGGATGTGTTTATAATTTTACATCTTTGAAGATAGTAGATATAACACAGACTTATATGTGAAAATAAGTTTTATCAGTGAAAGAGAATATGTAATAACGCCAAACTTAAAGAGTTATATGTATCTACTTATGGCAAACTTTTACTTTTGCAACACAAAGAACCACAAATGCTATTTACCTTTAAATCACACTTCAAATACATAGGAGGAGTAGCAGTCTGCGCTATTAAGTCATCCTTCAACTTGATTAGCTCCCGGAGTTTAGGGTACTCCTCAAATCTGTCAGCAAGCCCCACATCTCGGATGAAATTCTGCGGTCTCTGACCAGTGTCTACGAAGTGCTGGCAGTAGTCATTGTGGGGATTTGATGATTGTGTGCCCTGGAGATAATTAGAATATTAATTAGTTATTAAACTTGCTACTCCCACGCGTCTCCACCCGCTCTGCTAGGTTCCCATTAGTCATAGCATGACATATTACTTTCCTCGATAAATACTTAATAAATAGACTGTCTAATACAAAAGGACTTATAAAATTCAAACGAATAGTTCCGGAGATTACCGTGGTGTGCGTGTACCCAGGTCAGATGTAATAAGTTGTGCGGCTTCTGTAATTGTTGCGCACATTTTTAAATTTGTTGCCCTTATAGTTTTTTAATTATTAAAAAAAAAACATTTCCTGCAGGGGTAACGTTACCCCAGCCAGACCTTTTTCTTTCTAATGGGACTATTTAAATAATTTCTAACTATAAAATTAGTTGTCTAGATGAAGTAAATGTTGTGCCTTATTTTGTATTTGTTCTTTCATCGGTCGCGAAGTTTTCAAGACTTTGCTGGGGTAACGTTTTTGGTTTTGCTAGATCTTTGAAATGGTTAAGCGGATTCTTATCATATTTTGTACATGGTTTCTTAGGAATAAGTTTAAATTTGTTGTGCAATAAAAACAACAAAATTTGCATATCTTTGCATTTTCATATTTGCATATTACATTACATATAAGTGGGTATAAGATAAGATATCACATGCTTGGTACAGTGGCTTGGAGATACACTTCTGGGCATTATTATGGTTAGATTCCAGCATATCCAGTGGCAAATGTACGTAAGTATATATTGTAAGCAAATCAGTATATGTTTGAAATAACTGAAATTATGTTACTTATAACTTGTTCTCTTTAGTTAAACAGTTTGTAACGACAATGTTATCAGTAATATTGTTTCTTAATCGTTAATGGTAAAAGTGAGTAAATGGCCATATATAGTATAACCAAAAAAATGGTAAGTTTGGGAGAGCTTAGGTTCGGCACGAATGGGCGGGCTCGACCGGAATGATACCACGGCCTCACAGAAAACCGACATTAAATAAAGTTTGCTTTGTGTCATGTGAGTGAGGTTACCAGAGGCCCAATTACCCTCCTCAATTACTGCAAACCCAGAATCCTCAACATTTCTCAAATTCCTAATCCCAAAAGGCCAGTAATGCATTTCAAACACCTCTGGTGTTTCGGGTGTCAATGGGCGGCATTGATTGTTTACCATTAGATCATCCAATTGCTTGTTTACAGGCTTATCCGATAAAATTTTCCCATTTCACAACTACTAGTAAATTTCCGTGCATTTAGGCGCTTTTGCCCTATTACCTATTATTGGAAGCAAGTATAACAGCTCACACATAGGACCCACTTAGATTTTAGTCAAATTTCCATGGTGCTTGGCGACTGGGCTTCACCCAGCTGTAGTCTCTTTTTTTTGTGCCTTTAGGTGTAATTCACTCTGTCTGCAGTAATTCACCAAGGGAAGTGGAAACTATCGTTTTTTTTCTTCTCTTATAATATCTTCTGATGCACTTCGTTGCGGGAACCAAGACAGTTATTCATGTCCCTGCGATGCGCCCGACTTTAGTGTTACGGTGTTTTCATGGTTGTATCTACTGTAGATCCTGGCTTACAGGAGTTGCAGCGGTTTTGGGGGGTTGTGGCGGGCTTGTCCCATTAAAAAAAATTAATAGCATAATGGCCACTTCTAATATACCTAATGACCAGGGTACTTACCAATCACCAGTTAATAAATCAGTAACAAGTATTACATTAAAAATACTTTTTATGTTAAGTAAATGGTTTTAAACTGTCAAACACCAAGCGGTCACCGGTGACCGCAACCTATTGTTCTATAATTGTGTCTACAAAACCGGTACTTGACGAGTTAATGTGTAAGGTTATCAAGATAAAGAGTATGCACCAAGTATCGGATCGAACTATCGTCGGGAAGGAGGTAAAATTCCAATTACTAGATTTGACCCAAACAAAGATACGGAGAAAGGAAAATAAAATTCGTTAAACATTGCTAATTATTAAGTTTTGTCTAATTTTTTTTATTTTACATATCTACCAGCTTTTAATCATATCAATAATTATTTAAATACTTTTAGTACGTAGTATAACGTATACTAAAACAACATACCTTCAAGAAAGTAGAAGAATCAGTGTAAACCAGTTCATCAGGTTGGTCTTTGACTGTGGGTTTGTCACCTCCTTCATTTCCACCTCCAGGCACCGCTTGTTTCTTCGCCGGAACATCTAAGGTAGCTCCTAAAGCCTGCCTTAACTCACTCACACTTGAAACACCAAGCTAAAACATGGAAACACTTCTTATAAATATTCCACAAACCGTAGTATAATTTTAGGTTATGTCCCAACATAAAACCCAAAAACCTCAACTTACAGTTTGCGCAAGCAATTTCTTGCGTTTTTGTGATCGTTCACGTAATTCTTTTAGTTTTTCACTCATTTTTGGTTTTTGTTATCATTAATTTTCATTAATGAAACCCAAGCTTCCCAAATTATAAACAACTACCAATGTAATGACACGAATCTGTTCGTCGAGAAAGCAACAACACCCGGAATAAATAACAAAAACATTTAAAATTATTTGCAACAAACGAAAACACAACAGACATATATTTTGTAAATATGTTTATTTTATTTCAATATTTATAATGTATAAAATAAAATAAAATTAGTAATACATTTCTAACATTAAAATTTCTAAACGAACTTTTAATATCAACATGCATGTTGTAGTTGCCTATTTTAGCTACTCTATCATCATCTTCGGTAGTATAGTGGTCAGTATCCCCGCCTGTCACGCGGGAGACCGGGGTTCGATTCCCCGCCGGAGAGAACCTTTTTTGCAAGTTGGAAATTTTATTTTATTTCCGAGTTTTGTTAATATTTTTTACTTTTTTTTCAGTATTTTTAATGATATATCTTAGAAATTATAGTATCATTACGAATTTTTCCCCTTCATATTATTTAGTTACGAATTTACGATCCAGGTGGACTGTGTGCTTTTTTGTCACGGCTGTGGTATAAAAAATAAGGAAAAATAAAACTGTTATATTTTATAGATTTTTTATTTATTTTTACATAATAAAAATATAAAATCATTATTTATTAATAAAATACTGTATTTTTGGGACTCATAACATAAAAAGTGAAAAATGGGTTTTACATTGCACAGTGGCATTACGTGCCATAATAAGTAATGCAAATTTTAATAGCCTACCCCATTGGGGATAAAAGGCGTGACGGTATGTTATACTATATACCTATTTCTTTCTCTTATAATAATTGATTGTTGAACTAAACTTATAGAGAAAAAAATACATCTTAAAAGTAAAATACACAACCAGAATTACATTACAAACATACCTACATACATAATTACATATACATTTCATACTTACTTAAATAAAACTAACACAAAACTCACTTTTTTACTTGCATTACGTAATACCTACTTACTAATTAATGTAATTACTTGATTTGATAAGTACTTAACTCGTCGAGCACCGTCATTATAGACACAATCAAAGAACAACAGGCTGCGGCCACCGGCGACCGCTCGGTGTTTGACATTAATAGAAATGTTGTGATCAGGTTCTTAATTCTTATCCTTTTTTTTTATGAAATAGGAGGCAAACGAGGAGACGGATCACCTGATGGTAAGCGATCAGCGTCGCCCATGGACACCCGTAACACCAAAGGAGTCACAGGTGCGTTGCCGGCCTTTTAAAAAGGAATCCTGCCGAATTTGATCCAAATTAGTCTAGCAGTTCTTAATTAAATAGATGTATTATAAGTAAATACTAAGTATATGCAGATCTTGTTACTTTTTAATGATAGTAGAAAGTAAAGGATGAAGAATGGCAAATGATATGAAGGACATTACCTAAACGTCACAATTTTTACTTAAACGGTAAGAATTAGGGTAACTTTGAAACATAAAGATTGCTTTTAGGACGAAATGATATTGATACAGACAGACAGACACACTCGTGTCATTTTTATATTTGATAAGGGACGAATTGGGGCCCCCGATGGTAAGCAATCAACGTCGCCCATGGACATTAGGATTGCAAGTACGTTGCGGTCTTGTCGATCCGGCTCATTCATACCAAAGCATGGGTTTCCTACGCGAAAAAAAAAATTAAGCCGGTAAACGAGGATCACCCGATGATAAGCAATCGGCGCAGCCCATGGACACCTGGAACACCTTTTGGGAATTAGGAATTTGAAGATTCTTGGGTATTTTCTTTGCAATAAACGATAATGTTACATTAATTCTTAAAATCAACAGTCCTATTGGTCCTGTCAATATTGTTGCTGCATTTGTCCCTGGTGACACAAACTCCGGTGGCGGTGTCTCTTAGAAGCCCTATCTTGCAGTGGCAGCCCAGCACACAAGTCCTTGGTCGTTTACAGGCGCGGGTGTCGCAGCGAAGCTCACAGCCGTAGCGGCAGACGTACTCCTCATTTAGAGCTTTGCATTTCTCTGAAATATGAAAGATGAGAGCCATCAAGATGGTATTGCCAACAAACTGATGTGTACGGGTTTCGATGGTGTTGTAGTTTTTTATAGAATAGGGTAGTAAATGTGCGGATGAAACCCCTGAGTGTAGGCAATCGGCGCCGCCTTTATACGCCCGTAACACCAAGTTAACACCAAAAGAGTTACAGTTCCATTATTGGCCTTTAGCTACCCGATAAACTAGGATTTGAAGGTTGAGAAAGACTCGGATAACCTTCTAGATTCCGTACTTTAACTGAAAATATTTACCCAAACAAATCCTACTTAGTAATAATTATTCACAGTGACATCTACTATGTAGATACTAAATAGGTGAAAGATGCTATTAGCTGTCTGATTATGTAATAATTACAATCTTTAAAAGGAACACGAAGAATAGGGTAGATGCACGGAATATAGAATACAATTCTATGTATATTCCGTGGGTAGATGCCTAATTTTTATTTTAATGTCTGTCATATTTTAAATCAATTGACACATATTTTTTATTTTCTTACAGAAACGAATACTTTCGATGATATACATAACATAATCACGCCTTTTTATCCTCGAAGGGGTAGGCAGAGGTGCACATTATGCCACTGTACAATGTAACACCCACTTTTCACTATTTATGTTATGAGTCCCATGTAATAGGGGGTGAGCCTATTGCCATATACAGGGCACAATTCCAGACTCCGTGCTACTACTGAGAATTTTTGAAAACCCAATAATACTTTGCCCGAATCGAACCCGAGACCCCTTGCCCGGCAGTCGCACTTGCGTCTTGCGACCACTCTGCCAACGAGGCAGTCATATCTATAATATATTGATTTGAAACGTTGCGTGACGTCACTTCTATGTACATTTTATACATAGAAATGACGCTTTAGCCCCCACTCCGAAATTTAATTCGTTTTATCTAAGTATTGTTTTAATATACGACAAAATAAAAAAATACGTGTCTAATATTTTTTCATTACATTACTGCCTAATTACATTTTTAATTTTCATACCCTGTCATCATTCCTATCCTATTATTACACAGACACCAACTAAGTCTTAAAGATAACACTAAGCATCACTGTTAACTGCGCACATTACCTGTCCCTTCAAACAAGTAGACAAGACATTCTGCCTGCATATTACTTTTTCTCTTTGTAATCAACTGTTGACGTTGACCCACTCTCAGTGAAGGAAAAAATAGCGAAAAAAGGGAACGTGTTTTAATTTGAACGACGACGAAACATTCACAAGGCGAGCATCTTACGTTTAGGGATACACGACTACTCATAAAGCTGTACACGACCAGTATAAACATACCCTTAAATGTGCAGAAAGGTCATATAAAAAGAGGTCATTATAAATTGGTGCTGTTTGGCTTGATGTGTGACCGGGTTTCCAACAGTTTACAAAATACAAGATCTTGTCTCTTTAATGCATGCCCCGTTTTCGGGTCGTACTTTTAAAAGGCTTTTTACGTGTCACAAATTTTTTTCTTCTCGCAACATTCTTTGTTAACCTGAAATGGTTGAACGAGAATTCTCGAACTTTTTAGGGGATTAAAAATGTTTAAAAAGTCATTCGCAAATTGCGTCTGTTATTTCTTCATTTTATTCAATCAAATGTAGCATCCACATGTTTTTACGAACTACGTAGGTACCTTACACACATGAGGTTTTTTTTTATATTTGATTAGCGACCCGCCCCGGCTTGGCGCGGGTGCAATATGCATGTATTATACATATAAACCTCCCTTAAGAATTATTCTATCTATTAAAAAAGACCGCATCAAAATCTGTTGCGTAGTTTTAAAGATCTAAGCATACAAAGAGACAGACAGACGGCGGATAGCGACTTTGTTTTATATGTATTATTATGTAGTAATGGGCCGACGACGTTTGACCATGATCTCCCCTGGTGGTAAGCGATGATGCGTCTACGATGGATCACGTCGTCCCATAAGCAACCTATTCACTCGGGCCTTGAAGACACACAGGTAATTCCCTTCAGGAAAAACAGACTCTTTAGCAGTACGCACAAGGAAGCTTGAGGTTATTACAAACCTACCTTCCATACGAATTATGTTGAAAACTGAATCCATTTAAACTTTCCGAATTTTGTTAACTGTGCTCTTGTTTATTGGTTAACCAAACATGAGCTTGCGATGAAAGACATAATTTCATCTAAAATGAATATTTTGAAAGGTAGACGCTTAGACAGTATCATAGCAGTATTTTTCGGAATATGTATTTGTTTTATGAAG